GCAGTCGTGTGGAATTGACCTACGTCTCGATTGGTAGCAGACCATAAAGCCAGCTCGCATCTGCCGTCGGCACTTTTTTGAACTCGGCTTTGCGGAGCAGCTGTCTAACGCATGGCTCTGAAAAGCGCTGAATCAGCGGCAGAAAGGTCATACTCAGTGATCGTATTTTGAGTTTGTAGCCATGTCTGTAAATTTTCAGCGTAGAACCCAGAAGAATTTCTCCACTTAGTCTAACAGAACTAGGCCATTGAAAAATAATAATGCCTGGTTTCTTTTCATGCAGTTTTTGGTATCACACGTAGTGTATCTTCGTAGTCATTGGAGAAAGGGAATAGAGGCGGGGGGGGTTGGGTTGGGGATGGCAGGAAATTTGGGACGGAGTATATGCCTCTCGAATTAGGGCACATCGCTGTTGGGGAATCCCCAACAGGGGGAGGGGGTCGTATTTGGCCGCCAGGATAGGGAAGTTGTATTTCGGTTGGGAAAACTTATATTTCTATGGCTGATCTTTCTCGCTATCGACAGGCGTGGTAAAGGGGGGGCCGGCATCCTACTATCTGGTGGTGATTATTTGAAGAGGGGGGGGGTCAGTATATTACGTTTTTTGGCGTTTGTAAAGCGGTGTTGACTTTTTGTGATTTTCCCCGTTTCATCGCGTAACGTACTATATACTATCAGGGCGAGCCCCCCCTCCTCGCCTCCTCCCTTCGTACAGATCTCGTATCAAGAATTCCCGACCAGTGATGTGCTCTGTGCTTTTGAGTCCGCCTGTAAAGTACGAATTTCAACGGAAGTGCCTCTCTAAATATGTAGAAAGTAAGCCGACTGAATTTCCCTCCACAAAATCACAGCTGCATCCCCCCCAATCTTATGATAGACTGGCCAGTTATGAGTTTGGAGCGTAGCGGGGGTGTCGTCGTGCCAGACTCCGTTACTGATAAATCGTGTTATCGAGAGGAACCGTGCTCTCTGAAGGCATATCACTCTTCGGACAGCCGTACCCGCCGGACAATTGGCGCCGTTCTCCTTTCTTGCGGTATGAATGCTTATTTCATGACTTAATGGTGAAATAAACCCTTGGTCATTTGCATGTCAAGGGTGTAACAATCGTAGCCGCTGTTAACCATTTTGAGTTCTTTTTTCTGCAAGTTACAATATTCCGTTGTAAGTTATCCTACTTTTTTCAAGTTACAGCATTACGCTGTTCTGAAGAGTCGTCCTCCTGGGTAAGCAAGTGCCGTAACATTTAGTAAGCTTTGGCAAAGTTCATAAGATGTTACAGATCTTCCCTCCCTAAGCCGAGCCGGCGCTGGATTTGGACCATGCCACTATTCAAAAAGGAGCAAGTCTGGTGCTAGAGCCGTGGCTTTTCATCAACGGACCGCGTCCGCCGTGAGAGTTTCCGCGGCTAGCTTGCGCCTTCCTTCATTGTGTGTTAGCCAATGAAATTGCTTCCAAGGCTCGAGCCAGCGCAAGGAGGCTGCTGGGCTATGCCACTGTGTTAAGGATTACTTTCTTGCTAAACCCACGAACCCCCCTCTTGGTATTTTCTCGCTACGAACATATCCTTCTTGGGAAAGACGAAATCGGCTCAGTTCGGCGACGGGGAGCTTCTTGCGCCCGAGGCGCCATCTGAAGAGCTCTTTCGCGAGCGAAAGTATATGAAAAGACAAGAGTAGAACCGGTTTTACATGGTGACTAGATAGGCTTGCCCAGCTTCACAAAGAGTTCACAGGTTCCCCAGAGCGGCTGTGAACCGGGACTAAAAAGGCAGTGAGGCTACAAAACCATACCTCCCGCGCCCCCCCCCGTCGCCGAACAGCGCCAACAAAATAATTCACTAGGCGGCTCTCTGAAACGGGATTGAGCTGATGGGGATTGAGCTCCAGCTCAACTCTTCTGAGTGGCTGAGCTCGGCTTTGACAGGGCGATAGGAAACTGACCGCAGGTTCCAAGTTAACGTCAGATCCGCGTCTCAACTTTTTTAAAACCTCAAGAACTCAGTTAACTTTAACTTTTCCCTTCTATCCTTTACCAACCTCGGTTGCGTTCATAGTTAGGCGTCGGCCTTCCACCGATTAGCAGGTTCATGGCGATCCAAGCGATTCGGCGATTAGCTGCAATACATTTCCAAACGTTTATGATGAGGCAACAAAATGTAGATCAACGCGCTCCATCCCCAAACCAAGGCTAATGATCCGGTCCTGTCGCGAACGGGCATGACACGCAAGGTTAACCTTTTTTTTTTGGGTTTTTTTTCCGACCCATGCGTGAATAGATTTCTCTCTTTGCATGCTGTTTTTTAGTGGCTTTTTTTGTTTTCTACTCATATTGATTCTAGCTCCTTCTTGTTTTCAGAGATGCTCTTGTCAAAGGCATTCGGTCAGCTGGGTTCTATCGTCGGCTCGCGGCCCCTTACATTTTTTATCGCCAGTGTTGCCGTATTCGTATTGTCTACCGTATTCCTACTGATATTACCGTAAGTCCAAGTTCATTCCGATATCAACTCGTCACATGCCCAACGTGCTTACCCTAGTCGAGACTGCGAGGAGAGCAGAGTGGAAACCCGTCCAACGCCGGCAAATCTCTTATGCAGAGCCAGGGGTGTACGAGGGTCTTACATTTACCGTTCTGGATGTTTTTTTTTGCTGTTTCCTTAACAAGCGTACTCCTCATGTAGCACCTTGTGGTTCGTATAATAATGAGCTGTAAGCGGCTCTACGCTACGGCCGATCTTGTCTCGCGTGGGGTATGATGCCAGTGACTTAGGTTTGGCCGGCTTGCACCGGTTCTTCACCAGTTGTTTGAAGGCAGTTGGCACGATGATTTGGTGCTCGGCCTAAAATGCTAGTAGGGCGCTATGCAGTGGGGAAATGGCGAAAGAACGTAAGTGAAACTAGCGTCAATAATCCTAGAGAAAAGCCTGCGTTCTGCATATGTTTAGAATCAATCTTTTGACGCAAGTTTTCTGTAGGACATCTTGCCAATTAATTGCCAACTATTGCTTAAGCAAATGAATCAATACGAGCGTCAGTGGTCGGACCTTTGTGGGCGGGCGAGCGGGCGTGGTAGGCGTTCCGGTTGATATGTTGTGGCTTGGTAGGGCCCATATAAGGACATCTCCCTTGGAAAATGCACTATGCAGCGCCTGCTCAGCGGGATCGCGCGACATCTCCGTCCGGCCTGCCAGGGTGTTTAATCTACTCGTCTTGAGAGATTTATCGTACCAACTGCCTTCAAGGGCATTCTAAGCGATAGTAGGATGACAGTGGTAGGATACACACATCCTCGCTGCCGTTGGATCCTCAGTGAAGAAGCGCCAAAAACGCCCTAAATTTTGCCTTCATTTTCTTCGAGCACTGCTTTGAGCTCTTTTGTCTTCGAGCCATGCGGTGAAAAAAAGAGTGATTCTATACGAGAGACCAGACGGTGTAAAGAAATGGGAGCAAACTTGCTATTTTCCGTGGTGAGCTGGCGAAGGGCATTCTCCTGCTCAATAGAGGAGCCTTCACCGCCGTACGCTCTAAGTCCACAGTGCGCTTGTCATGCTTTTCTGAGCCAAAAAAGGATTAGACTCCGTAGTTGTACGCTCAGCTTACGCATATATCATGGCCATTTTCACTTTGAAATTCAGACGGGACCTTTTTGCAAATACGACAAATTCACACTATCCGGTTTATAATCAAATTCACGCCGTTTCAAAACAAAGTTCACCAACCGTTTCTCAAGGCCAGATTCAATCCACTTTTCAAACCAATCACACCTTTCCGAATCGATTCGTGATAGGGTCTCGTTCGTGCGCACTCGTACAAGAAAATCCAAGGCAAAAGTTTCTTCCGAATTAATCATCTATCCCCATATGGAAGCCATGACCTTATACTGCCGATTTGCACCATTTTTTAAAAGTGGGCGGGGTTTCTACAAAAAATGCAAAAATTTAAAAATATCAAAATTCCGCAAAAAGCAAGTGGGCGTGGCCGAGGGGGCGGAGCCCGCAGTAGTGTCTGGCCTGGTTTGGTTGATGAATGGCGCGGCCTAATAAGTGTGGTGAAATCGGATCGGAAGGTGGGTGAATTCGATTCGGAGTCTGGGTGAATTTGTTTTGAAAAATGGTGAATTTGGTTTGAAAAAGGGTGAATTTGGTTTGAAAAAGGGTGAATTTGGTTTGAAAAGGGTGTGAATTTGAAGTGACAATGGTACACGCCACGGTTTGAATTGCTGCTTTCAAGTAATCAGTGGCTAGTGTTTAGAGCTTGAACTTTACTTTCGTTGCAGACCCGGAGTTCGACTCAGCTTCGACAACGGCTACACAACTACCGATGCACCGTCAATACGTGAGCTCAAGACGCAGATCGATTTCTTCGGGAATAGAGTAAGTTTCGTTGAAGTTTTGCAGTGGTTGTTTTCCAGGAGGTTATGCGCATGGTGAGCATGCAGTGTCGTTCGCCAGAGATGATGGGGCGTATCAGTAAGCCTTAGTTTGACGAACCGCCAGCCGGATCGCAACTATGTATTAGTTTGCTGGCTGACAACACTGGAAAGCTATGCAAACAAAACTAAGAAGAAAAGGACTGGGTCAGCGAACAATGCGATACGGTCTCGGTCGCTTGCTGAAGGAAAAAAAAGGCAGAGAAACGGGCTGGCGTTGGGGCGCCAGACCCATCATGCCCGCTCGAAGAGAACAGGACTGTGCTCAACATCAGAACTGTATGTTGTCTCGAAAAAGGAGATGATTTCATTCAAGGGTTCAGGGGGCCGCCGCTAGGACAATGGGTGGTATTCACCATTCTCCTCCTCTTTCCCTCTCTTCGTTTTCTTTGTCTCCCGTTCCACCCACCTCCAGAAAACGACACCCTTCTATGGCAAGTGCAACGAGACCTTTGACGAGCAAAGGGGGAAGGGCCATTTGCGCGGTATTAAAGTCAAGTATTTCAGGGTCAACCATGGTACATGGCACTGTTCGCCGAGCCACGTGATCCAGAAAAAGGCTCGGATGATGGATGATGCCAATGAAGTTGCGACGAGTTCAAGACGTCTATAGGAGTTGTGAATTATCGGTTCATTTTTTTTTTTTTCCTCATTGTAAGTTTTGCAGTTGGAAGGGCAGTTCGGCTGGTGGGTGCATTTCACACTAGTTCCTTTCAAATCCCGGCTTGGGGGGCATTTCGCTAATTCCTTTCAATCTCTGTAGATGCTCTTGTGGAGACTTGTAGATTCCTGTAAAGTTATAGCATAGCATGAGCTTCGTTAAATTTGACAAGACTCTCTAAATCTTACCCAGGTGAGACGTGCATTTTACAGGAAATCGCACAAAAGAAACTGACGGAAATGCGAAATGCCCCCCCCCCAGGCGAATAGCTCTTGCACTTTTCCAAGAGATGACGTTGCCTTAGTGCATGGTTAAGCAGCCCATGACGAGTCCTCCCAACACCGTATCAGGACTTATGTGCAAAGTAACATGAGCAGGAGGTGCCGCAGATTACAACTGACCTACTAATCGATATTAATTTTTAGAATGTCAAAAAAGACATTGTCATACGAACAGAAGATGATCGTAACATTACCTACATGGACTATTGTGCAGAGACATGTTCAATCAATGATCCAGTATTCAAAACTGTCGTAAGTTTCTATTCGATCAATATATCGATTGCACAATCGTAACTCAGAGAAAGAGAACGAGGCATGTTCAGGCTTTAGCATGGTTTGGATTACAGTGGCCAGAAACTTCTATTTTTATGTTCAAATCCAATATCGGGAAGCATTTCTTCCTGAGAGAAATGCAGGTAAGCTGAATTTTTTTTCCGTGAACATTGGGAAGGGGGGACCAAGGTAACCTATCCTTGAGGGATAATAAGGATATACCATGCTCAACATGCGTTCTTCTGCTTAGCTGTGTGAAAACGTGTTCATCCATGGGTCTTCCCTACAGCTACCACATCAGAGAGCGCAGACGAGCAGAAAATGGGCGTGGTTTGGCCTTGGTCCCTCCCCGCTCCTCTCAATCACCGTGGCACCGTGGCATTTGAAGACCTTGAATAGTATAATTTCAGGGCCGTAACATTGTTCGTTCCCGTCTCTCGGCCCTCTACTTCATGTCCTTCGTCAACGGCTCCCAAGCGGCTGAAGACCTGAAAAAGTACGAGGCAGAAGTAGCAGAGTGAGTCGTAAGCAATCGAACTAGTCAATAATGATCGATAATGGATCGATTTTTGTTTCAGTTGGGTGGCTGAACATAATGCCAACGCCACGAAGCTGACCACTATCACTCAGCATAGCAAACGCGGAATGGAAACTGAAATAGCTCGAGGAATGAAATTCGTCGCAGTAAAAATCCTTGGAGGTCTGGAATGTTTGTTTCTTGTGAGGAGAGGGGGCATTATATATTTGATGTTTCCATTTATAGGTGTGGTTCTTACCGTATTCATTACTCTACTCTCTTTTATGTTGCTCAATAAGATCCATGGCCGGAGTTGCAGTAGGTGAGGCTGTTATGTCCATCGGCTATTGCGTTAGGGGGTGTGCAATTAATTCGGTATTAAAAGAGCAGGTAACTACATAGACAGACTGGAAAGTTGGACCCGTCACTCATTGCTTCATGTTGACTACTCATAGGCTGTTGCACCATGCTTGCTGTCCGTCTGTCGCCTGCTATCGCCCTTTGTCGCCCAGTGTTTTAGTGTTCATATTTAAGCGACAAGAAGCGATCACAATACCACGCAAGCCAAGTAATTGGAGAAATCCCGAGGAATCAGAACGTGTTCACCTTGGAGCTTTCCATCTCGGAATGTGACACAAAGCCGACGTGCAAACCCCCTTAATGAAAACGCTTCCTTTGTTGCCACTGTCATTGTCGCTCTCAGTCGTCTGTGCACCGCCCATCTCCTCACTACATTATGTTGTTGTGCTCAGTATCTGGTGTGTGTCAAGCTGCTGTATGTGATCTCCGTTGCTTCCGTTACTCTGTTTTTTTCCTAAAAATAAGTTTTTATTGCTGCCTGCATCCCCCGTCACGGCTGAGCGCCTCCTCCCTTCCCTCCCCAAAAGTTCCGATTAAATGTGCGCACAATTTTCCCGAGTCGCGTGTGTGGGGGGGGGGAGTCGATTTTCCCAAGATCCATAGCTAATTGTCGCAAACGAGGCTGCGTAATGTGCAGACTTCAGTGCAACTTCGAGCAAATTCAGCAGGCGACGCCGTGCGCCGACCTATTTCAGGTGACGCGTAGCGCGGATCTCCCATGACCGCCAATAGACTACTCAAGCCGAACGTGTCCTAATGTCATCTCCTATCTTATTTTCTATTGTTTTCTGAAGCTCCTGCTATTAGTTGACTGAACCTCAATCTATATCGCGCATTGACGCTCACTGTCCCTTTCTGACTCCGGTCTACACTAACTGCCGCTTTTTGTTTTAAAGGCATCAAGGCACGATATTTGGTAACTTGCCAATAAAAATAAGCAAGATGCTATGTGATGGGAAAAACGCGAAGTTGAACGGCCAAAACTTTTAAAAAGAACAGTCAAAAAATTTTGAAAAGAACGGTCAAAAACTTTTGAAAAAGCCCTCGTTCTCCACGGCGTTGGACGAGCATTTTTGGACGAGTTTCCCGTTAGTATCCTCCAGCAACCGCTTGATAGTACGCTGCGCGGTATGTATCCTATATCCATGGTATACAACGCTTCAATACCAGTTGTTTGTTCACGTCACAGCACTCTTCCAACCAGGCGTATTTACCGTATACCCTTGCCCTGATTTATATGCCATGCAACTTGCCTTTTGTTTTACAGCATTCATCTAGAGATGTGGGGCAGTCCGAAACTGAATTGGCAGGGGTAGGGTCATACCAGCTATTTCTTCTGCTCATTATGTGCACCAAGTCCACTTCCCAAGAAAATGTGAGGCCGGTAAGAAAGTTACTTACGGCGCATATGGCCTCTGCCCACACAATTCGGCGTGGGCTGGCGTTAATGATCGTCCTCCTTTCCAGACCTGCCATTTCATACTACATCTGCGTCAAATCGTTATCAATGGTTTCTTATTTTTGTGGATCACATTAACTTAGGTTTGCCGTTCCTTAGCATTAGCCGCTAACGTGTGCTCTCCTGATTAATGGGTTGGTGGGGTGGGGCGGTGTGGGGAGGCTTTAATCAGCGCCGCATGGCTCTGTGTTCTTTCCTAGGACTACATGCTAACACTATAACTATTGTTGCTCCGACTTTAGCCTTTGCTATAGGTATGTTTTGTCAGAACTATTGGTATTGGTGGAGGGGAAAGAGGCGCTGATGACGCGCTCTAACAGCTGCGTTATACTTTGCGGCAGCGTAGCGTAGCGCTTCCAGCGTACGCCAGCGGCAGTGCCGAAGAGAGGATGCATATCGATCTAGCTTCACCAGCGTCACCAGCGGCACGCTGGCGTACGCTAGCGTGCGCTAGCGGCACGCCAGCGTACGCCAGCGGCACGCTAGCGCACGCTGGCGTGGCGAGGGCACGGGAAGCATAGCTATCGATCTAGCTTCACCAGCGTTTCTCCAGCGTTTTCCCAGCGCTTCCAGCGACGGGGCTAGAGAGGGGCTAGAGAGCACTGGACGGAGGAGAGTACAAAGTACTCTCCTCCGTTCAGTGCTCTCTAAAGTGCGCTAGCGGCTTTTGTCAGCGACGGGCTAGCAGAGGGGCTAGAGTAGCATGACGAGGATAGAGTACAAAGTACTCTCCTCCGTCCAGTGCTCTCTAGCCCCTCTCTAGCCCCGTCGCTGGAAGCGCTGGGAAAACGCTGGAGAAACGCTGGTGAAGCTAGATCGATAGCTATGCTTCCCGTGCCCTCGCTACGCCAGCGTGCCGCTGGTGACGCTGGTGAAGCTAGATCGATATGCATCCTCTCTTCGGCACTGCCGCTGGCGTACGCTGGAAGCGCTACGCTACGCTGCGCTACGCTACGCTACGCTGCGCAAAGTATAAACGCAGCCTAACTATAGATTTCCAATCCCTGGAACGATATCCCTTAAGGAAATCGATGGTGCCTCATTTCTATATAACAGCTGGTCAAAATACAAAAGCGAAACTGTCAAATGATCTATATTGATGGAGTTAATTTTTGTTTCGAAACTGAAAACGGTAAGCGTGTTTGATTAGCTGAAGGAAGCCAAAGCAAGAAAAATCGAAAATGCCGATAAAAAACACAAGCGCGTTCGCCGAGTGTTGTGTAGGTCCTGACAGCGAAAGCATATCGGACGATGCTTTCTGGATTTTCCAAAGCGATCAAAGGAGGTTCTGCGAAAGCGTGGCTGATCACAAGTCCATTGTTGTCATTTGCCAAAATTGCACTGGAATGTGTGAAGTGTAACATAAGGTTCCTTTTTCGGCGCATACGGACATATCCGTGAGGGCAGACACGATTTCTCTCAGCCAATCCAAAATGGAGCCAAGAAACTATTTCTTAGTTAGAAGAAGGAGGGTAATTTGATGGACGCTTATCGACAGGGGCAACCAACCGCGCATACATACATCATACATTGCCTCGTTGTGGAACGACGAGTACAATCACTGAAGCTGAGAGACTTGCAGTATCAAGCAAAATAACCGATGCCACCCCCCCCCTCCCCACCCCTCCCTGATGTTCCTCTTTCTACGGTCCTTCCCGTTCGTCTTCCCAGAGTTTTTCTAGCTTTTTCCAATTTTTCACGCACGTTTGCAGAAAGAAAACCCACTTCCCTTTCAGGAACATGAGCCTCAAGACAACCCGAGGGGAGGGAGGAATGTCGCCCGTTAACATATTAAAAATGCGAAGTAGTAGTTCTATTAAGGATTCTGTTAAGGGTAGGAGCCAAGGAGACGTTTCTACAAATTTAAACCATCAAAATTTCCTCCTCCGCTCTCCCTAGCGCCAAATACGATTCCTTTCAGCCGGGATTTCCACCGTGCGAAGAGTGGCGAATGCAGCCCCTATAAGACTGTGCATACAGAATGACCTGCTAGCGCCGGAAAAACTTCTGTCACGGCTAGAAAAAGTTTTTGTCCGAATCTCGTACGACCATCAGCGGCAAATTACGGCACCCTCCTTAACGGCTGACGAATATGACCCCACCATTGGACGGCCAGCGATTCTATAGGAAAAAAACCAAAGCCCGAACATAACACTTCTGGTGAAGGGATAGGTTGAAAGCATCATGCTTTTCTCATACAAAAACATATAAGAGCCTACGCTTCTGAAATGCTGAGTTTTCGCCGCAAACGAGGGTAGAAGCGAATACAGTATCCTAGAAATAAAAAAGTACTGTAGTACAAAGGTCCTGCCAAATGTTCATAATACAACACCTCACATTATAAAACTGCTCTCCTTTTGACAGAAAACCCATCTCCAGGTGTTCGCTTCAACGCTCCCGTCACTTACGATCGTTTCATCGACCGCTATCGGACTTTTGGCTGGAGGCCTGTTTCCTATTGAAGAATACGCTGGATTATCTGTCTATCTAGGCGTTACCGTACTTTTCGTATACGCTTATCAAGTAAGTTTAACGTTTTGCCATTATCCGGAGATCTTTGAAATGTCCAGCGCTTCAGATATGTTTCCTTTAACGTGGTTGTCCTGGTGTTCGCCGATAGAAACGCATCGTCCACTAAGTCAAGAAGCTTCCAGGCCTACGAAGCCTCGGCAGATATGGTTTGATAAGCCTCTAGGTATGGCTGTAGAATTACCTGCTGTGGAGATCAGCTTTCTTTCTTTGTTTTGTGTTGCGCTTTCCGATTTCCGACTTTTCTGCCTGCCTTTCTGGGAGTGATTCAGGTGCCTAAGTGCTGAAATAATCCTCACTTCAAGGGACGGAAATTGGGTTCTTGCTAGGTGGGGCCCCTGCAGATAGTTATTAGTTCTTGTGCTAATCAATAAAGTGGCAATCAGCGCCTCCCCCCACTACTCGGGGTAGATTACCGTGTGGGGGCCAGTAAACTTTCGGGCTGCGACGACATGGCGGCAGCGTCGTAGCCGCAGCTACTGACTTGCTAGCCATTTGAGGCGAAAACACCCCGAGGAAGTAGTTGGACATACGACGCTGTGCAAGGAGTGAAGTAGCGCTCATCGTTGCATATCCCACCAGGGAGGCTACTTTGTCTTCTGCGAGGGGGGGGGTTTTTCCCCGGTTTTGGGCAAGGGTTTCGTATCCGCGTCCTCAATGAAATCTTTCCTCTCCGCTCGGTCGGCTGGTTTCGCTTGAATAAAAAACGGAAGAATTGCTGAGATTCGGAAATTGTTACAGAGTGGTGAAAAACACAGAAGTTGGAGTATAAGACGTGGAGGAAATAGGGTTAGGGGGCATCTGAAGATCTGCAATTTTTTTCCGTCCCGACTGTGCGCTATTCAACAGGGTACTTCCTTCCATTATGTTAAAGAGAAATTTCGAATAGATGCGAGCCCCACCGTACCGACCATTGCGGTTCGTGGCATAGACTCCCTTTGCGTTCTCCCCCCATCTCTCTGTGTACGTTCCCCTAATTTCATGCCACTTTTTCCGTTTTTTCATTCCAGTGACTTGTATCAATTTTTCTGGAAAAAAACTGCCACCAGCAGGGAGAGAGGGGAAGGCGCCATGCAACAACACTAGCTTGAACTATCGGAAAAGGTAGTTGTATAGACATTAGCGGCGCCGCCAACTGTTTCCCTTGCATCTTTCCCACAAGCACGCCCCACTCTCTACCATATGAAGCAGCAGGCCAACAAGTAAAAGGCACGAGAGGATTGGCCCGATGTCTCCCAGCCCACCAATAATCACGAGTTTGTTTCGTGGAAAAACGCATATGTTCCTAAAGTCTGGCAAGGCGTGAGTAATTGTAAACGTGATTCTTCATTGCTGTGCATCGTGGTCAATCGGCGTGAGACTCTACTGTAATACAGAGGCCAGTGAACTAAGACTAAGACTATAAAGGTCCTTATCATAACCCAAGTTCTGCTTGGTTGAAAATTTTTGGTGTATCGCTGTTTTGTTTATGCCTCGCTTTACCCACCTATCTCGGATCCAGCAAGGTAAGTAATGTCTTACCTACAGATATCATATTGGTTCGTCGTGGCAGCGGCGCGCACAATCGATATGACCCGTATGTGATCTGCATGACACTTTAAGATCCATGCGAATATCGACTACCGAGAGCTTCTTCCAGCCGATTCGCCTAGTGGTAAAGGCGTTCACTTTATGAACGACGTTGTAGGTTTATTGATTTCGTTTATTGACTTTTTCTTCGGATCATAATTGTGGTGTATTCAGGTGTGGCCAGAGTTCTTCAATGTGCTGTTTTTCATTGAACGACCACCCACCTTCGATGACCCTTCATCGTATAAAAGATTTAAAGTGGGTGAAATTTCATGTATCCCGGCGATAGGGAGGGCGTGGCGGCGTACATCGAGGATGCGTTTTGCGTTTGCGTTCTGGGACATTTGCATTCGAGGCAGCTTATGGTAGGCAAAGACACTATTACTCCCAAAATGAAAAAATTCCATCACAATCACCGGCGACATGGGAGCGTCGTCACGCCCTCCCTATCCGAGATAAGAATCGTGGGAACCCAAAAGGCAGAGTCTACTCTGATCGTAAGGGCAGGTTCAGTCCTGCCGCTTTGTCTTTCTTTGGCCCTTTCTTGCCACACCTCTACCATTTATTAGAAAGTAAATGACAGAATGGCCGAAAGCGTAGCGATAGGGCTGACTCCGCCCTTGCGCCCAGCGTGGACTGTGCCTTTGAAATGTTTGGGCTTTCAGCATTCGATGTTCTTTTTTCAGGAAATGATCTCTGAAATCGAATCACTTCCGGGTACTGTGAATAATTCGGGTATGATGTGGATTAATGACTTCAAACGTCACACAGACATGAAGGACAATGTATCTGGTTGGTTGACTCTTTATGATATTGTCCACGAGACATCCGCCTATTTATATATAGTTGTCTTTCCCCGCCCATACTGAGACGCTCCGCCCAACCAGGGCGTTGCGGCTTTGGTCGTTCGATGATAACAGAAAGGCTGGCGCCGCGCTACAAATGCCACCCATCACTGGCATCGCTGGAGCAATAATTGCGACCATATTGAACTGTACCGGGCGCACTGTCATTGATGAATGCTCGGATCGGTTCCCATCCAAGCCTAAAAGACCCATCCATCCAGGGTTGGCTAACAAGCACCACTTCTGTCTTGGAGAATAAAAACAAATTCTACTGCTGGACTCAAAGCCGGGGCTCGCTTGGAATTCGCGTCTGTCGGGTTTTTTTCAAGAGAGGTCCTGTGGCGGTCACTCTGCTACAATGCCAACCCTGAATAATAGCTTGGCGATGTCTGCTTATTTTGCACTTTCTTGGCAAGTATTAGGCGGCCATTTTCACCCTAACTCCTATAATTGCGCATAGAAGGCTTACTATATCATATACGTAAATTGGCGGTCGTTGCAGCGCAACTTACACTTTAATATGCACCTTTCCCTTTCAGCTCTGGACATGTCGTTATTCGAAGATTTTATTACACATGACGTCTACAAGGCTTGGAAATCTGGAGTACGGTATCGGATAGAGAAGTGAGCTATTAGTTTCACTTGAAGTTATGTTTTTCTCAGAATTTCACGTATAATGGATATCGGGGGGGGGTGTTCGGAGGGGCGGGATGAGTTCGCCCGCTGCTGCCTTTTTCTACCAATAGTGATGGGTTAATGACTGATTCAGGAATAAAAGAGCCAGTGGTGGAAACCCATGACTGTTTGTGGCGTTATGAATCCTATGAAGGTATTTTTGCAACGTTCCAGTGCAACCGTAAAGTGGCAGTGTTTACCTGGGGACATATCTGTTCTGATAAGGAGTTTCATATTGTGACTGGAATCACCAGATGGCACATGGGAACAAAGTACTCAGGAAGATAAGATACTCAGAGAGCTCCGTGCATTCGGGTTCTCATCTATTTGGCGATTTGGTGTGAGGGAAGTGAGGTTAATCAAGCTTATGTTTTTTGGGCAGCAGGTGGGTATTTCGATGCAGGGCACATGGTACGTCGGGGATCCCGGACGGGGTCTCAGTGGCTGGTGCAGGAAGGGGGAGGAGAGGTCATATGTGCTTTTGGGAAAGATGTCTGTCGTTGCTAACTACCTCGTCGACTGCACCTACAAACAGTACACGTCCTGCCGTTCGGGAAAAATAAATTTTTGTGAAATGCGATCCCGATGAATGATGGTTTTCTGTTTCAACTACCGTTACTGTTTCATACCTCCGCTCTACGACAGTTTTATTTTGGGTAAGAACTGGGAAAAGTGGCAGGAAGACGATGTTGGGAACATTTAGGAGGACGGTAGGCTGGATTGGAAGATGGCGAAGACGAGGGTCGTGCGAACAGAGAAGGAAATTTTGAGGGGACCGCATTTCAACAAAAATTTTTCCCGAACGGCAGGAAGTGCACTGTTTGAAGGTGCAGTCCACGTTGAGTTCATGATCGGGAATAAACCACCATTGTGCTTCTCCAACTGTTCTGTCCCTTCCATTCACTATGATAAATGTCCATGAATGCCCATGTCTCAACCGACGTGATTGGTGCCATCTGAGCAAGTTCAATACCCAAGGAGTTGTGAAAGGCTTGGGCAGCTTCGTGCGCGAGACGGGGGGTTCTATCGTGAGCTAGTCAGGTCACGCCGCAACACGTCGCAGCTGCGAGT